AATAGCATTTTCAGTTTTGAAACAAAAGGTGCACAAAATATTCATTTCATTATCTTTACTAGCATGGCCACAGAAGGTATGAATTTTTTGACATGTTTTGCATGCAAGTGCATCACTCGTTTCCTTTAAACACACAACAGATATCAGAAACGGAAATCTCTTTGGTAAGCATGTCTTCATCATGTTGGTTTAATCCACTAACGACTATAATCTCATTCATGTTTTTTAAAACAGACTCTTTTTCTTGCATAATCTGATTAGTTTCATCTTTTTCCATTGTTTTGATGCTTTCTATTACTTTTTCTAGCTGTCCTGTGTATTTATGTCTTTTAAAACGTCTTCTGGTAGAAAAGACGATGTAAGCCCTACTTTAAATTTGCAGCCAAAAAGAGCGTCGTATGGTGTTTTTTTCATCCCAGAATGATAAGCTCTATTTTTCATAAATTAAACGAAACGTAGTCCTTCACAGTAGTCCTTTGTGAACCTTGCCAGAAAAAAACAGAAAGGTATTAAAAAGGAAGGGCATTATTGTGAAACTTATGATTTTTTTCGAAGTTAATTCCCGTTGTCAGGTAGATCTTACTGACTTTCAGTCTCAGCCAGATAGAGAATACAAATTTATTATCGTGTACCAAGATCATCTCACAAAATTTGTGATTCTTAAGTCTCTAACGTCAAAAAGAGCTGAAGAAGTAGCCTATAACCTAGTGGACATATTCTCGTTGCTTGGAGCGCCATCTATATTACAGTCTGACAATGGTAGGGAATTTTCCAATAATGTGGTGATCAGGTTGAAGAAGTTTTGGCCAACAGTGAAGATCGTCCATGGGAAGCGGTGCCATACACAAAGCCAGGGTAGTGTCGAAAGAGCTAATCAAGATATGGAAATATGTTCTGTCCTTGGATGCAGGACAACAAATCTGACCGCTGGACTAGTAGGCCTACATGTCAACAGAAAATAAATAACGAAGGACGTGGTTATCGTTGATCTAATCCTTGACATGTGTATAGAATTACATTCAGGAAAACTAAATTTTTATTGACATGAAAAATCGCTTTATCTGATTTTTTCCCAGGCAAAAACAGATACAGTAGTTGCAAAGTTCTAACTTCCAATTCTAATCTTGAATCTTCATTGACAATTCGTTCGTAAATGGATTAGATCAAGTAAGAATATTTTCATATGCATAATATACAGGGCATCATCCGAAATGAACGTGTTGCACGGCATAAATAATTTTTACTCATTATTCAACTTATATTATCGTTTTCTATATTATAGTATAAAATTAGTATATAATTACTCGGTCTTTATTTGTAAGATTCTGATTGCTGCAGTTCCTCTATGGAAAGTAAAAATGAAATATTTCAGTTGGTTGATATTCCCTTTCTTTTTTACTAGAGATTTGAAAAAATGTCTTTAATTGGGCTGCAATTTGAAAAAATTTAGACCTATAAATTCACCCTGTCTGTCTGTTCTTTCTTCTAGAAAACGGTGTTAGATAGATGAAAGACCAGACAAGATATGTAAAGCTCGGGCATGAGGCCCGAATTAACTATATACGCACTTCCGGTGCAAACCGAAAGTCAAGTTATTACTGTATTTCAATTCAAACATATTTTTCTGAAGAGTTAGATAGATGACTGGCACCACTCTATTCCTAATAAAAGATTAATAATAAATTATTTTTAAGAATATGTTGTAAATCGTTCGACTATTTATTTATTTTATGTTTTAAGTAAAGCTGCGAATATTATATCTTATATCAAACTAACGGCTTTGTTGCACGATAAAAATATGTGAAAAATGTATGAGAACAATTACTTTGTAAAAGAGTCAAGTATTTATTTTAGTTATATTTTTAAATTATAAAATCTAAGAAAATTCGTAAATATCGCCGGGAATACAAATTATTGCTTTTCAGTAAATAATTTAAATGTTTTTGATAAATTTAGAATAAAAAATAACATTTTAAAAATTTTAAATGATTTTGTAACATTTATTTTTCTATTTCGAGTTAAACGTGTGTAATACTATAACAATATCAAAATTCAAGAATGAGGATTGTTATTCCAAGTTGTTTTGATAGTAATTCATTAGTAAGAGATAATTTAAGTAAGAATGCAATTTAATTAAAGACTATTTTACATTTTAAGTAATAAATTCGTGTATAATTGCTTGTGTGTAAGTTTTTGAAATATAGCATTGAACTTTTCCCATTTCTAGATCTAGGTCAGAGATATTTCTAAATTTTTATTTTGACAAATGTAACTTAAATATTATTTGAATTACTCGATGATTAATATATAATCTTAATGTTTACAAAATACAAAATGTTTTTAATTAATGTTCCACTTTGAAATGGCCATAAAATGAAAACTGCTGGACAGAATTCAAACTTGGTAATAGTGTACAGGACGACATGGGATTTTATTTCCCGCGAAAAAAGTTCATAAACTCACCACCAACGGGAAATGGCGCTGTCTGCAATATTGTCGTCCTGTACACTATTACCAAGTTTGATAATATTCTGTCCAGTAGTTTTCATTTTATGGCCATTTCAAAGTGAAACTTTAATTATAAGCACCCTGTATTCAGAATATTAAATATACAAAATAAAACAATTAAAATTCTTTCTTATACAGAACTCGTTACCTGGTAAAGCATTTTAATACAGTTGGGTAAGCAAGCCAATGACATAGCACATTTTATTTGAAACGAACTATATCATTGGCTTGCTTATCCAGCTTTATTATTGCTGCTTTACTATGTAACGCCCATATATTTGGTATAATCTTTGTCTTGTTTATTGAAGTAAACTAGTGCTATTGTTTTCTCATAAAACAATAGCATAACTAGCAAAACTTTCCAGTAATTTTCTGAATATTAAAAAAGCCTTGATATCATAAAGAGTTTTAAGTACAGTAATTATTTTACTTAATGTATACTGTAATTAATATTCTATTATTGAAGTTCAGGAATTGAATTTCCATTTTATTTTTATTGAGCAAAGCGTGTGCGGAGCTCTTCTTCAGAAAGTGTTTTGTCTACGGTCAAAGTTTAAAGCAATCACATGACCATTAAATGGAATTTTTTTTTTATATTTGAACTATTCGTCAAGGCGGATGTCGTGACTCAGCCGAAATTTCCAAGCTCTATCTATGGGCTGATATATTCGAAGTCAAAGTTCTCCAGGTAGGGTATAAGTGCCGATTGCAAGTTTTAAATTTGAAGCAAGTATACGATCACTAGAGTTTTTGCAAATACAGTCTGCTCCGAAATGATAGAACCAGTGTCAAAGAATGACATTCACAACGAAATAAGCAGAACATTGTATAACTAATTTTCATGGAGACACAGTGTTTTAATATAACTACTGGATGAATTCATAACTGTATAATGAGTAATTAATTAATCGGTCAGCCCCACACAGTCTAATTGGTTAACCCTCGATTTCCTGTAATTTTGCCATATGAGTTAATATGCGAAATAGCACACAGGAAACTATAAAACAGCCTCCTTCTTTTCATATTTTGCACAAAACATATGTCAACCAGTGTAAGTTACAACAATATATAATCACTTGAATTTTGATGTTTTATTTTTCCGTTTTTGAAAGAAATTACAAAAAATAAACATAAAGAATTAATTTTTTAAATCAACAACAACTTTACATTGTTAGATAATAGACAAAATGCTGAAGTTTAAAATGTAATCGTAGTTCTTAATGCAATGCCTTTTTTACAATTTCAGAAAAAAACAATAGCATCTGTGAGATGTTATGCCACTCAGGGAAGGCATTTTTTTCATAGAAACTAAGGAAGGATTTTTATGAAAATTTCACTTTACCAGTTTTAAGCTCTTCTATTATAAACTCGTCTGTACTTTTAAAATTAAGATTTTGCTTTTTTATAATAATTAATTTATTTTTTAAAATAAAATTTCATGTCAAATGACTCCCTAGACAACATACTTTCCAGGCTGTTATAATACGAGAAAGTGTTGTAATCATGTCGAATTCGAGTTCTTTGCAATTGTGCTCGTTTTCCAGACCACCAAAGCCCACGACGGCCAGATGGCCGAGCGGTCAAGGTGGCAGCCTACCGCTCTGCATGGCCCAGGAACGAATCCGGACAGAGTCGAAAAATCCTCAAGAATTTTTCGCGGGGGTGGTCCGTTCGAATATGTCGGGCCCTGACCCTCACCACCCGGCCGCCCCATTGTGGGCCTGACAGAACCCATAATGGTCTTTCTAAAAGATGCCCTCTTAGTGCTCACAGGGCAGAAAGATAAAGAAAAGACCACTAAAATCCAGAAAAGTAAAAAAATTCTAGCAGTGTGTGTCATAATTTTCCTGGCAAAACAAGAGTTATTGAACAAGACGGAGATGGATTTTGTTATTTGGTTGGAAAATAGATGCTTGATGGTTAATTTCTTCCATGGGTCAGCCAATCAATCTAACAACGTTTGTAACAATTTAACACAAGTGATCTTTACAGGTATGATATAGTAAGACCTATCTGAAGCAGACACGGCGATAACATTTAAAAAATTCACTATAATGTGATACCAGCTTTTACATTTTTTACTGTATATTAAAATATTGAATAATTATTGTTTTATATAATATATCTTCTATATTATACGCCTCTATTCGCTAAAAATTCTTTTCCTTCCATTATTTAAAATCCATAATTAATTAATAATTTTATGAATCAATATTTATTTAGCCACTAATGCTTGTAATAAAACAATGACATAATAAATGTCTTCATCAAAGTAATCACTACTTTAGAAACAGTCAAGCCAAATTAGGCCTATATAAATGTTATAGACCAAATGACATAATCGGCTATAATAATACTTAATGAGATTTAGTAAAAGTTATTAAAATATTAAATAATGTAATTGAATTTTTCATTTCAGAATCATATCCAAGATTATGATCAGTTTTGTATACAAATATGATCAAATATGATCAGTTTTGTATACGGCAGTATATTAGAGGAATTATGGAAATATTCCTGGATTCTGGATATGTTTCAATGCATCAGTACAATGATTATAAATAAACCTTATCTACTGTTTTTATTGTTTGTTATTATTCTGGTCATATATTTTTCGTTATCAACTTATAATAGAGTCGTTGTAAGTAGAATTAGACAGGAATTTGATTTAAAAATATCGTTTCCATTTCAACGGTAATATTTATCGATGCAGGATATGACAGATATCGGTTATGACGATGAAAAAAATGGAAGAAAATTATATAGAAAACGAATTCAGTTATTAAAAAATACAAATAGATTAAGAAAGACAAATGAATATCCTCCCGTATATCCAAATGGATGGATACCTTTGTTAGAATCCAGAGATCTACCTGTTGGGAAGTGCAAGCCTGTTACTGCTCTAGGTAAGATATAAAATATAGAAAACATTACATTAATCTAAGCTATTTCTAAGAATTAATTAATTGTTTGAAAGATTTGTATAGATATAATGTTAAACATTTCAAAAATCTCACACGTTTATTCTTCTTACCACAATTAAATAATGATTTTATTGTTTTTATTCTTATATAAATAGAAAAATTTCGTTTTTATATATTAAAGTAATCGAATTTATCTTTCATTCTCAAGAGAATTATAAATAATATGTTTTAAAAAAAAAAGCATTTAACGTCTCACACAATATTTTTTCTGGTCGGCGATAAAATTACTGTAATGATAAAAACTATTTAACTTGTTCCAGGTACTTGAAATAATGCAAATTGTAGTGAATTCAATAATACCATTCTTGCATCGAAAAAGAATTTCGAAATAACAGTAATATCGTGTATATAAAGAACACTAAGAGAATTAGAATAAACTATTACGATTCCATTACATCGGAAACGAGCACTAATTTATAAATAATCAAAAGAAATATAATGAAATACAAAATTATATTTATTGAAATTTACTTCGTGTTAAGAAAATAACTTTCGGATCATTTAAAAAATGGATTTACGAATAAAAATAGAGAAATTAAGTTAAGTTACATCTTTCAGATTACTAAGTGTACTTTCCTGTGAAAATTCTTTTGTTATGTTACACAAGCAATTATGTAGAGAGCAAATACGTTCTGTTGTGCAATTACAAAAAATTTAACATTATATAATAAAAATGTGAGTAATTATGTTCAAATTTTCCAATGCAGTATTCAAACATTTCAGTCCCAATCTTTTACTTAAAAGATGCGAAAATATATACTTGTCTTTTATTCAATACACTATACAACTATCAATACACCAATTGTAGTGTGTATTTAATAGAACAAAAGATACGAAGGTGTTAAGAAAAATGAAAACAAGATAGTCTATATATTTTTGTCAATTATAGTAAATTAGCTTGTTACACCTGGCATTGCCCAGAGTTTTAAGGTACTACTTACAAATACCAGAGTTGTTACTGTTACGTATAGAAAACGAAACACATACAGTATAGTTTTCACAGTGTAACATTTTCATTGGACAGAGGTGAACACCTACGTACTAGCTGTTGCAGTAATGATATAGTGCAGGGGTGGGCAAGCAAGAGTTCAGTGGGAGCCGAAATGTAGGTTTTGCAAAATGCAGTTCTGTGCTTTTTTTATTCTGTACCGCAGTTCTGTATCGCGATTTTATTATATAATATAAATATAATATAAAACAAATATTGAATTTTTTTAATAAACATATTTTCACAAAATTGTGGAAATAAAATTGTAAAAGAAATAATGAAAAGCAGAAATTAACACTTTCAGCATGTAACTCAAAAAGAGCCGCATTTGCCCATTCCTGATATAGTGTGTAATAGAAGCCTTATAACATCATCACAGTAAGTAAATATAATACTGTATAATATACTTTAGTTATATTTGTTTGTATGACATTTATTTGATTTCTTAATTTTTAAAATTGTTTTGGCTACAAATGGCCCCTAATGTAGGCAAGTAAGTAGGCAGAAATTAATTGAAAGCCCACCAGTAGCCAAGCTGTTCCGTTCCCTAAACACTGAGAGTTCGGTCGTGGGTTCGCGCCTCGCCAGGACGGGCTACTCACGTGGAGTTTTCCGGGTTTTCTTCACGTCTTAACGCCTGAATAGGGGGCCAGTTACCCTTAAAAAGACGGCAAAGACCTCCCAAAAAAAGGCATTCCCCTAGACAGATCGCCCAAGTGTTACGTTGCCATAACTTAATAAAATAAACAACAAACGACCATCATAAACGCATGCGACTACTATTACATGACAATTATGTCACATTTTACCACGGGATGATATAGCCTAGAACAGGGGTCGGCAAGCTTTTTTCGTAAAGAGCCCATTTTAAGAATTATATTTACCAAAATAATACTTACGGAGCCGCAAGTCAGCAACTTGAATTATGAAATATACATTTTTGAAAATTGAGCCTGAAACTTTTGTTGTTGTTGTTGTTAAAATGTTTATTTGAGCTTTGCTTAAAGGTGCTGTAATAAAATACACTGCAATTCAATTATTTATTATCAGTGTTACAATAGTCGTAATTATAGGAGCTTTATGCCCGAAACGTGCTGTTATCACGTATGTAAAAATGATGGAAATAAAGCCAAGTGTTTATTTATAACTCAAATGTGAGTTCGAAGTCCAACTATTTATTGATTACGTCAGATAAATAATGTATTAAAAATACATTTAAAGAATTAACTGATCGCCCCTGGAAGTCGGCTTCTTACAGAAACACAGCTTCCCTATCATCAAATGTCATGGCACGCCACTGCAATATGACAATAAGCGCAATCTGCTAAAGCGCTAAATTCTATCTTTGTTAGGTTAATTTGACTTGTTTTTCTCAAAGCGATATTCAATTATTATTATTATTATTATTAAGTTTTGTAATTACTCTGACAGTGAAATGATATGCGATTAGTAAAATTGAAATGTCTTTTAAAAAATATTAGTGGCGTTTACGAGTTACCTTTTTCTTTTACATAAATTTAAAATTTTATTTTGTTGTATGAATATTATTCACTAATTTAAGAAGAGGTTCAATTATTCATTAAGAGAGCCGCAGGTTGCCGACCCCTGGCCTACAAGCCAATGCCCAACTAGCTACTATAAGACAAAAAGTTAATTGATGTATAGAAATTAAATCAATATTTTGGAAACAGAATGTAGGGCATTATCACCTAGAAGTATGTTAATGTAAGTGCCGACTCCCTTTTAATCTGGGAGACAAAATTTAGCAGAATTGGAACTAAATTGAAAATTGAGTATTATTTAAGTGCTCAATTTAATATTTTATGGACAAATAATGATCGGTCTTAGTGAAAATAAGAAATAATGCCTGTTCCTAAATTTTAAAGCTGCAGTCTATTTAACAATAACCTACTACATATTTCCAAATACATTTCTAAACAGACAGGTTAATAATTGAATTTTTTAAATAATAATTTAAAAAACATTAATTCAAATTATACACTAACTTCATTTACATAATGTAAATTTACTGATAAAAATTTTAATTAATTTGAAAAATTATCAGATTACAAATAATTTTAATTTACCTTTACAGGTCAAGAATTTGTTATATTTCGTGGAAAAACAGGTAAATGCTATGTTTTAGATGCTTATTGTCCTCATTTGGGCGCTCATTTAGGAACTGATGGCAAAGTTCACGAGGATTGCATCGATTGTCCTTTTCACGGATGGCGATTTGCTGGACAGGATGGTTCTTGCGTGAAAATACCTTATGCCGAAAAAGGTGAGAGTTACTAAAAATATATATTTCGTATAACAATGTGATTTATTTACATATTAATTAACAGTCATCCAAGCAAAGACAGAATTATAGCATTGCATGTGTATATGCATATGACGCAATAGATTCACTACAATGTTTACAGTTAAATAAATAAATTATTAAAAAAACAAGCTATGTACAAATCATTTTGTAGTTTTGCAGTTATTTTCCAAATGTAACAAGATGCAGACTAACCTTCGGTCACAACAAATAATGTTGCAGCACACATTGTGGGCATCACTGTTAAAGAAGCAACATCTATGTCTTATGATCATTGAGAACATTGCGAAATGACTGGTCTTCATGCGGAAAGAAGAAACGCACAAGCAGCATGTAGAATCAGCAAGCGTTTTCTTCTTGCAACAAAATAATACTATATATACAACGGTTCTAAATACTATATATACAACGGTTCTAAAACGGATCTTCCTGGTCTTCATAACATTGAACTATCGACATATATCTACGCTTATGCACACACATTAAGAATACATACAAGACTAAAACGTACACAAATATAGGAAATTTTACGTTGTTATAACACACACTTTCAACTGCTATTTGCAAATCGGACGACATGCAGGGTTGGATGCATCGTGACTGAACTCTGGAACATTATTGATTGATTATATGTTTAGTCCAGGTCGTGCCAATAACGGATTGAATATGTTGTATGAATTAGCTAAACACTTTTCTCAAAACTACAGAACTAACTTCATGTGCACCACCGGACAAATTTCTCACTTTTACTCAAAATACACAAAAATATGTGCAATTTACTTAAAACGACTGGTATGGCATCTGAGTGAACAGTTTTTTCATTCCGTATTCATCAAATAGTGGCCGTTATATTTATCCTGTATCCTGTACATGACATCGGAGTAATGGTTACGTGACTTGCTTTTGTGGCATTATTGCTAACAGTAGTATTGCCGCGTATTAATGGCTGATATTGGACAGAAATAGATAACAATTTAATAATAAATAGAGTATAACAATTTGCATGGCTTATCACACCAAGGCCGACAGAAAGAAGGACCAGAACTTTTATAAAAAAAGGGTTGGTCTTTAATAATCACATTTCAAATTTAGGTAAGTATGCATTTCGGGTACAAGGACCCCTCATCAGCTTACAAACACATGGTAACAACGTAACAAATACAACACCAATAACCAGCCAATACAACCAACATATGCAGTGCACTGCATTTACAATTTCTCAATGTAACCCATACAGTAAAAACTAAAATATCAAGTATAAATTTCAATACAATGACAATGTGGTATAACATATTATCTTGGACCAGTAAATGTCTTAGTCTCTCCTACATTTTCCAAATTCTGGTAGACAGTTCCACTATTAATAATAAATATTGTTAAGTATATTAAAACACACGAAAAAAGGTAAGGAAGCTAACAATGAACTTACTCTTATTAAAACCAATTGGTCTCCAGATTTTAACACAAACAAAATACATCTGATCTATAAGAGTTTGTGAAGTCAACTGCTCTTTCACAATGCATTTTTACAAAGCGATGTGACTCCCACATCTCTCCCACAAAGCGATATACTCCCACATCTGTTCAGCATCTGTTTCAAGGTTAAGTGAAAACGATGTCAATCCACCCCTCATGTAGCTTCAGTCCCACGTTGTTATTAATTCTGATGTCTTCCTGTATTTTCAAAATTTCTAGGTGTTCCTGTAGTATTCTTTTTAGTTGATTGTTTTCTGTCATAACACACTTGATACTATCTTTTAAAATTTCACAACCTTCAGTGTTGCAATGTTGTGCCACTGATGATGATATCAAATTATTTTAATGGCATATATATGTTCTTTAATCCTTGTCTTTAATTTTCTTCCAGTTTTCCTATGTATTTTTTTTTTATGTGAACAACTGCAATCTAATCTAATTTACCGGTAGCACAGTCTTTCACACACTTTTTAAATAATAATTTACCATTTAATATAACAATAGTAAGTTCTAAGTAATTCAGTCTATTATCTACCGTATTTTGACGAGTATAAGTCGCACTTTTTTACTACTTTTTGGGGCTCAAAATTATGGTGCGTCTTATACTCGACAGGTAACCATTTTTACAGTGAAATTTACCTACAGTAGTGATCCACTCTAGTAACCAACCTGTGCAGTGGTCCGTTAAGCAGATGGTCCCTCAACCGAATGACTATAGTATGTAGATTATCAGAGTAGCGACACACGAGTCATCGCCGCCATGTTCTGTCAACTGTCATCACGTGACCTCTGAGTTTACATTAAGAAATGACGATTATTTCAGTTTAATAAAGGTATCGATTCATCCATCTGTCATATTCTTGAATAAAAAAACAAATAAAATGCATCTTTAGACAATCCTATTAAAACAGTTTTTTTTCTAAATTTTTTGTCTCAAAATAGGGGTGCGTCTTATACTTGACAGCGACTTATACTCGTCAAAATACGGTACTTCTTTTTCACATTGGAATTGAACATTTTTATTTATTAAATTAATTTCACAAACGAAAGAGTCAATATCTAGTATGCTTTTATCGTAGACGATGAAACAGTCTTCTACATATCTTTCATAACTTATTATGCTTCGGGTTTTGTTGATTTCTTTATCAATTGTGATCATATACAACTCTGCCATTCTAGGACATATGCAGGATCCCATTGGAATACCTTCCGATTGGCGGTAATATTTACCTTGAAATTCAGAAAAGTTATTATTTAACACTAATTTAACTAATTGGTTAAGTCAATCTGGGCTCTTCACATAGGACAGTGAATTTAAAATTAATTCTAAGTTTATTGAGAAATACATATTCAGGGATACATTTAGTGATGCCATTCTATAGTTTTCCTTCATAACAATGGCTTTCATGTTTTTTAAGAATTAGTCGGTGTTTGTGATACTATACTAAAAATATTAAATGTTTTCGCAATAGAATTCCGAAAATAAGTTTTAAAGTAAAAACACACAAAAATCCTGTTACTTATCGTCCTTTGATAGATATTCGAAAATATTTGCTATATAACCTTGAAATAGCGATAAAAAAAGGAGTTAAATAAATTACCCGTCTCTGAGTATAGTATCATAAACACCGACCAATACATGTTGGTTATCCCGTTGTATTGGCTGGTTATTGGTGTTGTATTTGTTACGTTGTTACCATGTGTTTGTAAGCTGATGAGGGGTCCTTGTACCCGAAATGCATACTTAGGCTACCTAAATTTGAAATGTGATTATTAAAGACCACCCTTTTTTATAAAAGTTCTGGTCCTTCTTTCTGTCGGCCTTGGTGTGATAAGCCCTGCAAATTGTTATACCCTATTTATTAGGTTATCTAATTCTGTCTAATTTATAGTCGTGGGCAAAAATGCGTTGTTTATTATTAATGGCTGATATCTTTGAAAAAAATGTATTAAACAATGCAGTCCTGTTCTAAGACCACTAATGTCCCCTGTCTTGTCTTTACTGATGTTTTCCTGCAGGTTTACCTAAATGCATTAATGTAGGTGCAGCTCGTCAACATCACAAGGAGCTATTGGGTAAAACATGAATCCAGCACACTGCATGATGTTTCCAAGATAAATACTGTATGGGTATTGAGATCGGGGAACTTGCCGATCTCAATACCCATACAGTATTTCATTAACATGTAGCATAACGTACAGCATTTCATTAACATGTAGCATAACATAGAAAGAATCAGAGATTCTTTCTACGTTATGCTACATGTTATAATAATTTTCTTCCGTTACTCTTGCGTTCGACACAAGTTAAAAATTTTATATATTAGAGAAGTCGCGGCCGTCGTATTCAGCCCAAAACGTGAACGGCGGACGGTCGAGCGCTGCCATCCGGCAATTCTAGACGGTCGATAATGGTGTTCGCTTCGTCTAGCGTGGCGAGTAGAAGATCGATTTAAACTTTTTTATTTTTTGTATTTGGGGTTAAAATTATGACCTACTTTATTAAAATAATGATTATTTAAGCATTTACGAATAACATTATAAAGAAACAGACGATTTTCATCCAGAAATTACTTAATTATTCAATTTTTTAGCAAGTGATGTGACGTGCCTATAGAATTTACATATTCATTATAGCTTATCAGAAAGTAGGTTTGTTCTTCCACGGCATCTTCTATCATCAACAGCGTAATACGTTTGTAAATTTTCTAAAAATTAATTTTCCGAGCTTCTTTCGAATTTACATAAGCCACTACACCCTCCACAAAAGTATGAGGTAGTCCTATCGTCCGATCGTACGGCAGGAGACACCACACTAATTAAAAATAATTATTTAGTGTTATTAAACATCTTATAAATACTTTAAAATAGTTTAATTTGTTTATTTATTTTCGCTGGTAACCTTCTATGTTAAATGTATCCGCCATATTTTCAACAAATTTTTCGAGAGTCGATGCGTGACATTCACTGAATTACGTGATGATGTGAACGTGCGCAGCAACGATTTTTTCTTTGAGTTAAAACGTAAACCGTGTGCTTCTGCTTGCCGTGTACAAGTAACGTTTGAACTTGGGCCGCAACTTCTCTATTGTCGCAAAACTACGACTTATAAATGTGTCTTTTTGAACAAATTTTACTATAAACGTTGCAGTGGAACCAATGCATAATATGCCTATACTCTTGCAATGCTGAAAATATATATTTCGCTCCTGGATTAATATTAAAATGAACTCTCCTGTAGTTCCAGAAGTGGCTAAAATAAAAAGTTGGGAAACAATCGAACAAAATGGATTTATTTACGTGTGGCATCATGCAGAAGGTCAACATCCTGTGTGGAAACCACCTGTTATACCAGAAATACAGAAGGGATTATCACATTACAAGGGTCGTAGTGAACATGTTATTAATTGCCATATTCAGGTATCTACAATTATCACGACTTCAAAGAGAGAAATGAGTTATTTATGACTTTATTTATGTACTGCAGGAAATTATGGAAAATTTAGCAGATTTTCCTCATTTGGAGTGTGTTCACAAATTTGGTACAGCATCCGGGATTATTCTGCATCCAGAAAATTCGTGGAAATTTATTCAGGGTAAAGTGAAGATGTACTACTGTCCAGACCGTGAACCAAATTTTCACTGTGTCAAATATAAAGGAAATGCTACTATTAAATTGTTTGGAATATCTATACTACAATTAGAACTTGAAATTCAACAGGTAAGTCATTAATAGAAAAATATATATGATTAATTTTACATTATTCTGTAGGATTTAGTAAACAGATTGCGCAAATAACTATGGGCTTTAAAACTTTTTTAATATTGCTTTTATTTATGCTTATAAGATTGAAAGAATTAATCCACAATTTATACAAATAATTGATATTGAGTAATGAAGTGTTGTGTAATATAATACAAATCTAAAAGCCTCATGGGGTCCGGGTGGTGAAATTGGTAGCGCACCGCACGGCAAGCTGAGGCTGCAGTTTCAAGCCCCGCCCCGGGTCAGTTATTTTCTTCCAGAAGGTTCTAAATTATTTATTAAATTATTAAAATTATAATTATTAATTTAGATAAGAGATGGCGCCTAATGCATGCCTCTAGTACCAAATTTATTTGTATTAATTATTTCATTATAGTCATATTTAGGTGATCTTTGGATTATTACATCATCTAGTAACAGTGAAATGTTTTCATGAATATGATTTATTGCAAAAAATGTTGTATAAGAATTTGACAAATTAAACAAATTATTTTAATAAATTCAAAGCAAAATATTGTCGCATTTTACATTAGAATATTCTAAGTCAGGGATGTCCAACCCGCGGCCCAATAAACGTGTAAACAAAACTGAAGATTTAAAAAAAAAAAAATTTATTTATTTAATTCAAGGCATAAACTCAAAAAAGAAGTTTCACAAAGCCGTAAACCTTTATTCATATTTTATTTTTGAGTGGAAAGAAAATATTTTCAAATACTTGAAAATGTGTGAATGAGGAAGGATTACTAAATAAAGCTGGAGTTGTGACTCAAAGGATTATAGACCCAAACTTGGGGAAAGGAGGGAAAGGAGAGAAAGGACAAAAGATAAAAAGTAGTGAGAAAGGTTAAATAGATCTTCTGTTATGCAAATATTAACTCTTAATTTTCCAACCTTCCTCACTTCTTTATCTTTTGTCCTTTCTCTCCTTTCCCCGCATTTGGCTCTATAATCCTTTAAGTCACAACTCCAGCTTCATTTAGTATTTCTTCCAGCATTGCAAGATTTGGCTACATTGCGCCAAATGTGGCTACATATTATTTATAAATATATTAGTTGAATAAAAATGCACTTTAAAATGGTGTTTCATTGCTTTTTATTAATTAGAGACTTAAATAAAACAAATATTTGGTTTTTCAAATAAATTTTCGTTTGTCTCTTTTATAATAAATGAATTTATCTATTTCTAAGTCTCCATTTATCAGTACACCTTTATTCTCCCAGTTCATTGATTGAAAAACACTTTCTAATACATTTGTAAAACGTTTTGGGGAGATAGTATCACCTTTTAATATCGTTGGTATCTTGAACCAAGCAAACTTTTGCGCTTGCCCCTTCATGCCCCTTGCCCCAAATGGAGACCATCTGACCCATTTTCAATTTGCTGACGACGTAACCATCATTACAGATAGCCCTTCAGAGCTCCAGGACATGGTTCAAGTACTTGCAAACAAAAGTAAAGAAGTTGGTTTAAAGATGAACTTGAACAAGACGAAAATTATGTACAACAGTTTCGTATGTGAAGAAACACTACTAGTAAATTCTTACATTTACCTGGGACAAAAAATATTAATGGATGGCAACATCAAGGAGGAAATAAACAGACGTGTAAAACTTGGCTGGAATGCTTTTGGTAGGAATAGTATAGTCTTGAAAAATCAACACATGCCCCTGTGCCTGAAACGCAAGGTTTTTGATCAGTGTGTCTTGCCAGTTCTCACTTATGGATTAGAAACTTGGACTCAGAAAATCAGAGATCCAAAGACTACAGACTACCCAAAGGAACATAGAAAGGTGTATGCTTGGCATAACAAGGAGCGATCAGAAACGTATAATATGAATCAGGAAAATGACAGGAGTTACCGATATCATCGCTAGTGTAAAATTCCTCAAGTGGCAGTGGACTGGACATATTGCAAGAAGAACTGACCATCGCTGGACATCTGAAGTTCTTGATTGGATACCAGAGATCGAAAACGACCAAGAAAAAGTTCTCACCCTCGGTGGGTTGATGAGATCAAGAGGCATCTTGGCACAACATGGAAGCGAAGTGCTCAAAACAAAAGATTGTGGAAGAGGCTTGGGGAGACCTTCATTTTGCAAATAGATTGATAACGGTTGATGATGATGATGATGATCTATTTCTACGTAAAAATTGAAAGTGTCTGTAGAAGTAATTTTTTAAAACATGCTTTTAGGTGATAAAGTTTTAATACTTATTATTATAATCTAGACATGTTAATCCTTAAATATACTTGTATATTGGGCCACAAGTATAGCCTGTATTATATGTACAGTGGGTGATCGGTTAACGAACAAATCGGATAACGAACACTTTCGCGAAAGATTTTTACGTTCGGATAACGAACACCCCACAGAACAAACACAAGAAGAAGCCACGTAAAATAATGAATACCGTTTGGTCTTCCCTTGTCTTCGGGCAACAATTCGAAACTTTTCGGTGTGGGAGACGTCGACATCGACAGCGTCGATATCGACGCTCAAGCCGGTATATAACGATCGAATAGTATTCCTCCGAACTTTGAAACTCTCCCTTGTAATTCCAGTCTTTTATTTTTCTGACAAAACAATTCTGTTATGTATTCGCGAGACTGTCGGGTAGGCACACGTTAAGTTTTGCATCTATTTTTCTTTTCTTTTCTGCAAAAGTAGAGAGTGGGCAGAAGATGCCTAATGTTGCTGGGCAGTATGGTGTGAACAGGTCTACAGTAGGCCGCAGTTCAATCTTATTTAAGAAAAATAATGTATAATCAAGAAGACTCAAGCAGCTAAAAGAGTAACAAAAATCACAACTGAGAAATAAAGAACATCGAAGAGTTCATAATGGAACCCGAAACGGATCTGACAACAGAAGAACGCCGAGAACTCTCGAATGAAGAACATCAAGAAACTCGGCGAGATATGTTTTCTTCTGAAAAAGAGGATTAATGCCGATATCTGTTAAAGATCCTTTGAAGAAGTGGGAGGATGTCAGAACACGATCTTAGAATGGCATCGAAACCAGGTTGAGGCTTGGGGATTTCTACAATTGCAATGCTATTAATTACTTATGAAAGATCCTGAAGAAGAGAGAAAAGCAATCGATATTAGACAGATTCTTTAACTTTTTCAAACGGAAAAACATGACTAATAAAAATGCAAGACTGTGTATGTATGTATTTTTATTATTACATTTAAGTAAACGTAGTAAGAAAGTATATATATATTTTTATTTTTGGGGATCTTCAGAACGGATTAATTAAATTCCCATTAAAACTTATGGTAAATCGATAATCGGTTAACGGACAATTCGGATAGCGAACAAAGTCTTGAAACGGATTATGTTCGTTAACCGATCACCCACTGTACTTGTGGCCCAAAACTCCTCCACTTCTTCCAATGCGGCCTAGAGAAACAAAAAGGTTGGACACCCCTGTTCTAAGTTTTGTTTTGTTTGTTTCAATATTTGTTGCATTTTACTTTGCTTAATATGTTTCGTGTATCATTATACAGCAGTAGACTTAAAAATAAATGCAGAAAACAGAATAGCAACAGCAAAGTGATGTATTGAAATTATAATGTTACAAAATGGATTAATTATCAGATGAGTTTGATGATCATGTTACAAAAAACCATAAGGTAATTAACAAAATTTTTAATGGTAAGGTAATTAATTGCCTTTATTGATATTAAATTTTGTGTTTTCTTTTTTCAAAAAAAGTAACGATCATGGAGTAATCATTAAGTGATATAAACAACCAATTAAAGGGAATATTTGAGATGAAAGTGTTATTATTCTCTGCTATCGAATGTTGCTCATTGGCACTTTCCCATTGGTCGTGTATGCGTGAGATCTAATTGCAAACAAGACGCTATCGATGGGTCTTGCGTTTGGCATGCCCCAATTTCATTGGCAGAAAAATTAATTTCAGGATTTCCGAGTTTCACAGTTTATTCAATAGTTACAATTCTAATTTTTTTACTTTCCCTGTTGTTATACATAACAGAGGGAAAGTACGGTAATCGATCAAAAAATGACGCCCCCCCCCAGATTTTTACATTTCTAGACTCGAGGAACCTTGAAACATCGAGAATACAAATAAATACCGGAGTGTTTTCTGTATATATGGATATTACTGTGTGTGTGTGTGTGTATGTGTGTGTGTGTGTGTGTTTAAGGCAGAATTTTGTTCATCCTCTTTGAAGTTTAGCAACGGTTATGCTTTTTATCGAAAATTTCTGAAATTTTGAAGTGAAGTCGATGGAGGCTACAAATTTTATTAGGGGGATCGATGCTATTAAATTTTGGTGATTAATTACACCTTAAGGACTTATCCTGCGATAACTCGGGCAAGTTCTATAGCGTTACATAAAACTCGGGCGTTTGGACCTTCTGAAAAAAAATTTTTTATTTGGATTTTTGGATGTCTTTTAAGTCTCCAAATTTTTTTAAAAAATGTTTTCCCGCGCGAAAAAATTTTATCGCGATTTTAATCTACCTTTAATGACGCACGATTAACGCTTAATTGTTTTTAATGCGATTTTTTTTATCAAATTTAATTCATCGTTCTAAAGTTGTACTGCACGGATTTTACTTCGGTAAAGTTATTTAAAGCTAGTTCCTGATGTCAAAAACGACCTCCAATAGTTTTTTTATTTTTTTTAATTAATAGATTTTATTATATATACGTTTAATTAAGTTGGGGGTCGGAAATCGCAATAAAAAATGTAATTTTTTAAAAAATATTTAAAAATATACGGCCAGTTAGTATTCACCCTACTTTAAATTCTTCTTCTGCTGAGAAGGTCCCGAAAGCCAACACCAGCTGTTCTCAAGGTCACCCAGCTGTAAACACAATGACTCATCGGTGTCAAATTTCGCAGAAAGCCCAGACAATGGAAAATAAAGTTTGAAGCTTTTTCTTCAAAATTAACCCATTTCTTTCGTTTTTTTCAGTTTTAATTATTTTTCATGTTTGATTACATTAACATTAAAAATTGGCGGGTACCAAGGGAGTTAAAGGTGGAGAGGGTGAGGATATAAATAAAATCATGTGTATCTTCAGAAGGGTCGGACTTACTGACGATTTTACTCGTTATTAGCATTTACAGTTTTTTTTTATAAAACCCGTTCTACCCTGAAAGTAAACTTTCTGCCATTTTATAATAGTTAAAAATATAAAATGTTTTTAATAATAAAATGTCATAATGGATGCGCCACCAAGTGTTGCCGGGAAAGTTAAGTAACTCGTTGCTAAATTTTTTAATTTTGTGATAGTTTGACATATTGGGAGAAGCTTAGCATAATTATATTATTAGCTCCTCTACTGCTTATTAGTATTAATAAACAGTTGAAATTAATGTAGATGAAAGAATGTTTTTCACTCAACTATTTCTTTGCTTCCTTAAAGGTAAACACGATAAAATTTAAATGCATTTATAAATAAGTAATTGCAAAGAATTAATTAGTTTTGTATTGTTATGAAATATTTTTAATTTTTCAGATTGGCCCAGCAATAATGCAATTTTATTTCAAAAGTTCACTTGGAAATGGAATGGCTGTTTGTGGCATTATACCCGAAGGTCCTTTTCGACAGAAATTCATTCACCATTGTTACACTCCTTCTCGATTTTCATCCATATTTGGTTATATTCCTTTATATTTTGAATCTAATATGGTGAGATTTTTATATTTGAATGGCTGAGACTGCAAAATATAAATGAAATGCGTGTGTTAATATTTAACAAAAAATGTTTATTTTAATAGATCGAGCGTGACGTTCGCATATGGAACTACAAAATGTATTGGAAGAATCCCTGTTTCGTGTCAGAAGACAAAACAATTGCCAAATTTAGAAAATGGTACGCTCAATTCTACAGCGAAAATAGCCCGAAGGCTGAAGAAAATAGCCTTAATTGGTAATTGGAAGTAATTTTATACTTTACAAGTTTGAAATTAATTTTATTCGGTAAATTTCTGGTTTTATAAAACTTACCATTAATTTCCAACTGTAGTTCATGATATAACTTTAAACGTTGATGCAATACCTTAAAATTACTGCTAAAATGTGAGTTGTTATGTCCAAAATTTAGTTNGAGATTTTCAATTGTAAATCAAATTAATTTTTAAATTTATGTTATTTGTGAATGATGATACTTTTAATACCATACATGTACAGATAAAAACCATTAAAAAATAATATAAACTATAACTAAATCTGTATATAACCAAAGGTTATTATTCAAAAATCAAACTTAAAGAATAGTTGTTATGGGAGCAAATGAACAGCTGTCTCTTCAAATTCCAAGTCTGAGCCAAAAGTAAAGTATTTTTGTGTCTCCTATCTGTATGCAAAGACCTTCCTTCTCCTTTGTTAATTAAAAAACGTACCCTATGAACCAATGACCAGTGTGTGACGAAAAAATCAAAAGAGAAAGTTTGCCACTAACGTTTTCGAAGTGCCCTGACTTCTTCACATGTTAAACAGAATTTCTGATGGAACACAAAATCTTTGTTAATTAACTCTTTCCATAAATTCATGTAGAATCCACAGAGGAGGTTAACAGGTAGTTCTTTTAAGGAACGAATTATAGACCCCACAGACAACCACGGTATTACCTACTTACATGCTGCTTCTTTGTAAAGTGTTGGTTTCAGTTTCAGTGGGAATAGAACATTTTGCTTTTAATATATATATATATATATATACAGGTTTGTTATTTAAATTTTTCAAGAGAATGTTTTTAATTTAAAGTAACTTTTTTTATTTTTGCTGAAAACAATTTTTTCCCTAGTTTTCTTGTTCCTTAATCTAACTTAATACAATCATCATTCATATTGGTTATTCACCCAGTATAATCAAAAGTTTAACAAACAAATATGTGGAGCAAGACCAAAAAATGGGAACAGTGGATCACAAATACAAAACTATAAGATACGACAAAACCATGATGAGTATTTTTCATGAAACAGCAAGAGACAACTTTCCCTAAATTGCAGAAGGAAATCCACTATCTATACCCTTCTTAGAAATTCCGAAGACCCTCACAATAAGATGTGCCTTCCACGAGTATAACCCATACCTCTTCAGGACAATAGAGAAGGCAGACATCTTCAGTATGTTGGAACAATAATGCATCCATTAAAACATTTACAAGAAACATCTCAACATAATTAACAAAAGGCAAACAAAGGCAGCTACCTAACATAACATAATACTATCACCCATGATAGATGAGAATGTGTAAGAATACATCAGCAATGCTCAAATTATTCACCATGCATGAGATCCTCTGCAAGTTAAGTATTTTGAAATGTTGGAAATTTACAAGGCCAGTAGAATCAACATGGAAATTACAGTAGAATCTCATTTTAATGGATTTTTCCTTGGGGCCCATCAAATCAATGTAATTTTACCTCTTTTTAGCAGATCCATAACTCAGAACAACAGATTTTTTATAGTCCCAACTACAGCAAACATCATGTTCTTTCAATGTTTAATTAATATTTTGGTATTTCTGGGCAGTAAATTTTAAAAAATACATTAAATGCAGAGCAAAATACACATATAATCACCATGGTTCATATTGCTAACTCTGTAGCCATGTGGTCCTTGCCCTCCTTGTAAGTTCGCTGACTTCCAGGGGGAATCGTTAATCCCACATCAGGATGATCTAGGGTTGTTCGTGTGTGGGTGTGGCGGAGGAGACACGGATGACAAAAACCCGTTTATTTTAAACAAAATAACTTACACTATGACACAAAAATGTTCTTTATACAATTGGAGGTTCGAATTGTCGATGGTGTTTCTAATGTTGCTCGAAGGAAGGCCCGGGGCAACGGCAGGTGTGGAGATTCGTCAGTCGGTGTCGGCAGTCTGAGTCCGTCGTCACAGGTTATCAGTTGGGCACAACAGACGGAAAACTGCTTTTGCACATTGACTAACCGTGTGCAGGTGCACAGTTTTCAGAAAGTAAGTCTGTCCTTGAAGATCAGGGATTATATCAATCTCCGTTCTTTGTTTTGTTTTCTTCTGATTGGCCACATCCCTTTTTTCTCGCTCCCTGATTGGTCTCTCATCTGTCTCTAAGCGAAAGACGGTTCCTATTCGAGTTACCAGATAGATCCGCTTCGAAGAATCTACTTGACACTATCCATTACTCTGGATGCAAAAATGTTGATGAAACTTTGAAATTTGCTCTCATATTTTCCACCATTGTTGTCTAGTCTGTGACGTTTTTGAAATTTAACAACCCGATGTGGTGTCCCTTTTCGTCATTAACCTTTCCCACTTTTCAAAATTTCTATTTTCTAATTATTTGCATATGAGCGACTTGTCAAAGGTCCATCTATACTGGAGGTCGTTCATTTACAATTATTAATCATTTATAATTATTGCGTTCTGTTTACATCAATAGTGTTTTTTTTCTCTCGTCGTGATTTCATGTGACTAGAACAACTAATTCGATCTTTGATCGGTTTTTAACAATGGACGATTTTTCTAGTTTTGTTTTACCAAATTACTGTAATAAATCTTTAACATCAACCTGTTTTTGGAACCCCACATCCTGTAGTATATTGATTAGTGGTAAGAAGCTACTTCTAGTTGTTGTACTCAATGGGAAAAAAACAGCATCAAAATAAACCAAGACAGACAAGTTTTTTAATAAACTGTGAAATCAAATAAAGCACTAATGATCATTTGTACTGTACTTTTCCTGTTTTTGTGCTTACAATACATACAGTTTTTGTCAGCTTTGTTGTACAGTACATATGCTGTATATGGCATAATGTCAGCATACATGTTTCTATAGAATAGAGGATAGAGATCTCAAGAGACTGAATAATTTCAAGTACAGGTGTTTCTTATTTGCAGGGAGTTAAAAACAGAATTTTTTAGAAATTTATACCTAATATTATAAAGAGGTAAAATTTGTAAGTTTGGATGTAGGAGGTAATCTCTGAAACTACTCATCCGATTTCAAAAATTCTTTCACCAATATTTAGAATGGAACTTCAGGGTAGACATAGGCTGTATATTATTCTGTTAAACATTCATATAAATTAAAATATATCATCTAGGCAAGCTTTTATGTCCAACAGATGGCGCTAACTCTGCGAGTACGAGGACCTAAGTTTGCTTTTCTGTGAGGATGAACTAAAAATGAACCCAGATAATCTTCTATCTATCTATATAAATAAAAATGTAATGTTCATTTGTTCATACCAATTCCTTTGAAATTTTGACACAACATTGCATTCGAATATGCACATGTTTTTATATAATATACATGTTAAAATTCCTCCCACTGGGGGGGAAGACGGACAGGATTAAGGCTTACCGTGAAGTACTTGGCTTCTATTATACTATTTTAGATGCGGTTTTTGCATTTTTGATTGTGTTTTAATAGGGTACGTCAAGAAAATGTACACTAAGAAGGGATTTTTCGAAAATTTCCTCCATGTGGGAAGTGTTATAAATTTATAATAGATACATTTTGAGCCACAACAAAGCGTGGCAGGTTCTGCTAGTAACAGATATTTTCATGGATGTGTGGGAAATCCATTGTTTATGATATAATGGATTCTCAGAACAATGGATGATTTTTGGTGCCCTTCATTAAAATGAGATTCTACTGTAATTATGAGAGCTATTTTTTAAATAAGATCCGTTTGTGAATGAGAGTGAGAATTACACGCGATTGCAGCAGTGTGCATGAGCGTCTGCTTTCAGCATGCTTTCCACGTGTTTAGATGCCATTTTCAGCTGTATCGTCTGTCTGTGTGCTGAACTATAGAAGTTTATAATGTTTAAGAAAATTGAGTCACCCGCCGACTGTAAGATATGATCTGTTATTAGATTTCAGCATGAAAGACCATGGTAACTGTCTTTTGGGACAGGAAAGGATTTTGTTAATGAATTTTATGTCAAGAGGCACAGCAATCAATTTTGATGCTTATTGTGACCTTGAGAAAACTCCTCCGTGCCATACAAGACAAGCAGCATGGCCTAATGTCTTCCATTGGCAGGCGGCAGATTTCTTTGAAGTCGGAATTTAAAAGATTTTTGAGTAGTATGACAAATGTTTGATAAAAAATGGAAATTATGTAGAAAAGTAGATAAAAGTATGTAGAATATGGGAAAAAATATATTTTAATAATATTTACAGTATTTTTCTTCTTATTAAAAAACAGACCTTATTTAAAAAATAGCCCTTGTACAAGGATACCCACACTTCTGTCACTGGCTTGGAGAGCTTTATTTGAAATTTACTATTAGTTTACATCCAGTGAAACCATGTTTTCACCAACTATTAATCAGACAACATTCTTTTCATATTTTAAATGTAACATTCCATTTCTTGTTTGATTTCTGAATCATTATTTTAACCTGAAAAAGATTGCTCAAGGCAATTGAAAACATTCATTAACCTTCATATTTTGGTTTTTTGTGATGGATTATTGGTTTGTGAGTGATATTTTTATATATCTAACGATGATACATTACATAAGAAGCTTCAATTAAAGCATTAATGAATTCATTCTTATAATTTATTTTTGTCATTCACAAATATTATATATTCATTTATCAAATATCATAAGTCAGATTATATTTGACTATAATTAGAGTAATTATTAACTAATCATTATACCAATATATAAATTATAACCTGAATATAATTCATCTTACAAATACCTGATTAATAGAAAATTCAGGTTGACTATTTGAATACTCTTATAGTTATTCATTAATACACATAAAATCTAGTGTAATAAACCACAAACTAACTAGAACAAAACCTACATCCTATTAGATAGTATATTTTGACAAATGCTCTAACAATTCAGAATACACTTGTTTTAATATTCTTCTTTTCAAAGTTTTTTTGTTCTACAAATTCATAAATATTTTAGAACATAATGATAATTATGATTTTTCTTGATTTGATGCTATAAAAGGAGATTGTAATAATTTAATGATCTGTGATAGCAAAAAAAAAAAAAATAAATAAATGCGTTGTTAGGTAAACCA